TTAAAATTTCTGACCTTCTCACTTTATCATCTTCTAGAATTGCTATTCTTGAACCTTGGATTGATAATCTTTCCTCTTGTGTTAATACCATTGATTTTGTTGCTCTTCAACATTGGTCTTATTTCTATACTTCAAAACGTCTTTTATTTACTTCATTGCTTTCTTCTCATTCTTTTTCTCTTAATCCTGACTCTCCTTCTTTTGCTACAAACGTTCATCTAGCTCATGAAAGTCTTTCCAAATTTTTCTTTGCAAACGATGGTTCTTATCCTGAGCTTCAATCCCATCTTGTTTCTCATCACTGCAATTCTTTATGTTCTTCTTTCCCTCTTTAATTCTATTAACTCTTACTTATTTCTTTTAATTATTTCTTTTATTCATTTGAAAGAATATTTAGTGTAGAAATAAACTATTGTTAAGTTTCAATTATCATGTGTTGAAGAAATTAAATAACCATTTGTTGTTATGAAGAAAATCATTTTGTGAATTATGTATTTTTTATTGTTAATTGATTGAAATTACAGTCATTCTTTTATTTATTTCTATATATCATTCATTTCATTTATTATTCTTTGTTATTTGTAGTTTATTCTCCTTTCATTTCATTTAATTTTACAAGAATAGTTAAATACCAAACAATATATTTTATTGCATTATTTATTATCATGAATGTTACTTCATTTAATTCTATCATTAAATAGTTTACTTTCAATCAATTAGAACAAATGAATAACGAGAAACTGAATTATATCTAATAAATAGTTTTTATTCAAAGAAGAAAAATAAATTTCTATTTTATGTTAAGGTAAATTGTATTTATAGTTTTGATAAAATTGAATTATTTTTCTATTTCATCTATTCTTATTTCATAAAGTGTTGTTTCAGTTTGTTTTAAAATAAATAATATTAATTTAACCAAATGAAAAAAGGTTGTTCATGTGTTGATATTAGATGAATTAATGAATGAAGAATTAAACAAACAACAAATAAATACAACAATTATTATTTAAATGTTTGTCTTTCATAATTACAATTTATCATTTGGTTAAATAAACTATAAAAGAGACGACATTACAATATTTAATTCATTTTACTTGTTTATAACAATTTAATTTATCATAACAAATATAACAATAACAATTAATTTAAAGTCATTTGAAATAATTTTATGAATAAAGAAATGGGGTAAGAGGAAATTGGAGAGAATGTTATTTTCAAAGAGAAGGAAAAGTAATTTTAATGAAATAAATGTGTTATTTTAATCAACAAACAAAAATAAAATGAAATAAAGAAGAATTAATGTCACTAAATTATTTTTTACATTTTTATTTGTTAATAATCATAAACAATATTTGAAGTTTTTTTATCGAAAATTAATTTTTATTTACAATATATTTTTACATAAGGAAATAAATCAAACAAAAGTCAATAGAATGATGTTTTGTATTTCAACAAAACCAAACTTACAACTTATATTAATTGTTTTTATCGCAAAATATAATAGTTTGTAAGTAGTTTTATCAAAATTTAAAACAAACATCATTTGATATATTGTCTGAAATAGAGTATTTAAATAAATCGTTGGAAACTACAAAATAAACAATGAGTTTACAAGAAGGCAAACCAAAACAAACGAAATTCCTTTTAATTGGAGAAACAGGTACTGGTAAAAGTTCAGCTGGTAATTTCATTTTACAGAAGAAAGATAATGTTTTTAAAGTAGGTGATACTACAAAATCACAAACAAGAGATGTTGATGTACAATCTGGAGAAGGAGATAGAAGTGATGTAACTGTTATTGATACACCTGGTTTTAATGATAGTGATAATGATGATAATGGAGAGTTAAATATTGAACATATTAAGAAGATTGTAAACCGTGTTAAAAAAGAAGGATTACAAGGAATTATATTAACAATGGATTTTAATAGTTGTAAATTTTCTACTACTGTTAAACAAGTTATTAAAATTATAAATGACGTTTTTCCAATAAAAGATTTTTGGACACATGTTTGTATTGTATGGACCAAATGTTTATATTCTCTTTCACGAAAGCAACTTGAAAAAGGTAAAAAGATCAAAGAACAATTAAAAGAAGACATAATTTCATTTATAAACCAAATAAATGGAACAAATGAAGATATTAAAATACCTATGTATTACGTAGATTCACAACCAGATGAAGATATTGATGAAGGCGATGATAAAAAACAAGATAAAGACAATGATAAAAAACAAGATGAAAAACCAGATGAAAAACTAGATGAAAAACAAGATAAAAAACCAGACAATAGCAGATCAGAGAAAGAAATAGAAAGATTAATTGAATGGGGAAGAGATTTAGATTTTATTGATGAAGAAGAAATCAAGAAATTAAACGCTGAATATAAAGAAATTCGATATGAAGAAAAACCAGAAAAAGGTAAAATAATAAAAGAAACAGGATCTAGTATAACATATGAAATAAATATAATCAGAAAATGTATTAAAACCAAATATAATGGAGATGAAATAGAAGGTAAACATTATTTAATTAGCAGTAGAATTGTAACAGAAAACAAAAGTAAACAAGAAGGCAAAAAAGAATCAGAAAAATGGGGTTTTTGGAAAACGGTAGTTGTCATAGGACTGGGTGCTGCTGGTGTTGTTGCTCTTGTTGGTGCTGGTGTTGCTGCTGCAGCTCCTCTTCTTGGTGCTGGTAAGGTTGCTGCCATTGCTGCTAAGGTTGCTGTTGGAGTTAATGCTGTTGGTGGTGCTGGTAAGGTTGCTGCTGTTGGTGCTGTTGCTGGTGTTGGTGCTGTTGCCGCTGCTTGTTTAATGCCTAACGAAAGTTCTAGTAGTGATTAGAAGACAAATAACACCAAAAAATTGAAAGTTAATTAAGCATTTTAAATGACTTATGTTTTGAATTTGATAAAAGAAAAATGATAAAATACTTTCAAAACAGATAATATCGTTTTAATCAGTTTAAAAAAAGAAATAATATAAAATAAATGTATTGAGTAGTGATGAAAATATTGTTTGTTTATAGTTGTAGAAACCAAACAACATATAACACATTTTCTGTGTAAATTTCTTCATATTCATCATTCTCACTCACTTTTTGTTATTTTCCTTTCCATGTGAAATATATAGCATTTTCATTATTTCAACTGAATGTAATTATTTTATTAAGTGTTGTGTTATTTTCACTGACTATTCTAAACTTGTTTCATACAAATTATTTATAAATAAAAGGGGTATGTTTGTTTGGGTACGAAAATTAACAAGAAAAATGCATCTAAATAATTTACAAAAAAAGAAAAAAGATGCAAAATAATTTGCATCAATAGAACATTCCATTTATTATA